TTTGCTCTTACTGATTTAATACTACCCTGATTTTTATCCTGCTCAGAGCAGGGGCCACAGTAAATTATTTCGCTTATATCCGCAAACCCGGCTGATACTAAAAGGGCTAGATATCATTTTATTTAATAACATCGATTAATAAATTATATTTGGTAACGAATAATGATATCTGCCCTCAATAATTGATCAATAATGATTGCCAAATACTCAAATTGTTAGTTATAAAAAAAAAAAACGATCAGGCCATTGTCAATAACTATTTGCCTATTTGTCCAATGAACTGCGAAAGCAACGACAGATGTATGAAACTTTGTGCACATTCATAATTATGTAATTAATGAAACTATGATGTCACATACGCATAAACACATACACAACAAATTGAACTTTATCTCATAAATTTAGGAGTTCATTTCCATTGGAAGGTGGAGGAGCACTTATAGTATGTGCAACTTGCTAAAGTTGACTCCACACGCAGTAAGTTACAGTATCTAAAGAAATTATCGAAATATTTCTTAATTCAAAGCCTACTTAATTTATGGGAACATAAATCATTACTTTTTCTTGAAACTGCACCGCGAACTTTGGCTTTATGGTGGCAATAAGATTTTTAATACTCATAAATTGAGTTTTGTTGTTTAATTAAAAGCATATTGAGAGTAAAGGTCTACAAAATGATTTAATGGTTGAATCAAGTATTGATTGGGCTTGCATAACGTTCACGGAGTGGTCGGAGGGCGATCTTATCTGAGAGGATAGACCTCCCGCATAGACCGCTGCAATCAAATTTTGGGGAGATAGTGGCGCGGCGGCGATACCGTCTACTTGATAGATACTTGATTAAACCTATCAAGGTTCATTGCTCTTCTATTAACATACAATATACAAACAATACTTTGTGTTGTAAGATCATTTTGACAATTGGCTATAGTAATTGACGAATATACTGCAAATGTATATTTGGGAGAGCCATGCTTGGGCGGGAATGGGTCGGCTCTATCGGAGTGATACTACGGCTTCACAGAATACCAGCATGTAACAAAGCTAAAGTCGTGTGACTGAAGTTATCTTAGGCCCAACCATTTCCCCTTCCTTCCTCAAATTAATCAATCCCCAAATCCCCTAACCGTAAATCCCTAAGAAATCACAAAATGTTAGCAACGCACTTGTCGGCGGGCGGCGCTGATTGCTTACCATCAGGTCATTCCTACCCTTTAAATATCCTTTAAAAAACGATAAGTACTTGTAACTATTCTGGCGTAGATAGTGTCCATGGGCGACGTCAATTATTTACCACCATATAATATTTGCTATCTGCTTGGCTTTTATTTTTTGAGAAAGAAGACCTTACTTCACTTAATTCCATGAGGGTAAAGTGGCATGTGAGCAACCAATTCATGATATGGAACATTAAAACCGTATAATTAATTCGACACCCGCTTGTCTGACATCATTAAAATATTATTAAGATTGAAGATAGTACCTTTATGGAGTAATGAGAAAATTTAAAATAATTAACCATGGCGCTTCTCGCTATAAAAGGTTGTACAATATAGTACCATCTGTCAAATTTCGTCGATGGGTTCTCGACTATATTACAAAACTTTAAAGTTGGATTTCGATTGAAGATGCTTGAAAGTTTGGTTTAACTTAAAGTGTTGGTGTCTGTCCCCGCTGATGTACGGGTGACAAATTTCGGCAGACTCCATAAAACGCCGAATGAAAACGTTTAGAAGTTATGGGTTCCCCGACATTGGGGCGTAAAACGAAAATATTGCATATTAAAACGATATTATTCCCAATGGTTGGGATCTGCATGTAAAAATATCTCCTTGTCATTTTAGAACTCACGTGTAGATGTAATTCTTATAGTGAACACTCAAATATAATAGCAGTAACTGTTATTGAAATTATAAAGATGTCTAGTCTACTTCATAAAAGTAACTATAAAAAACGTACTACGGTCTTCTTATGGCGTCAGACAACGAATGAATTCGCGTGACCGCTGTCTTGTAGCCCTCTTTTACTAGTTATAATTTATTCATGGACACATGTAATACACATCGGCTTTATTATTAAACTAGTAGCAACAACATAATCATATAGCTTGTTTACCGAGTTCACCCATAAGGAAAGTATATCAATCCTGTTAAAATTACTCCTATAAATTGCCTCTCACGAAATAGTAAGTTCGAAATTATAAATCTTATGTCATTGTAATAAGAATTACACATTTGCAAGTCGCCAGCACTACTTAGATTGTGTTCCGTGCACTATAATTATGTAATTTTAACATTTTATGTCAATGTCGTCACGGCAGCCATATTTGTAATGGCGCCAATTTTGACAGATCGAACGCGCCAAAAATGTAGTTTTTAAGCGATAAGCAGTGATGGTAAATTAACAGTTTAAATATAATTATATTGATTTGCGAATATAAAAACGTAAGCAATTAATATTATTCACATAATGGGGAAAAATATTTCGTAAACGTCCATGTCAGCTTAATGTCCAATGATGTTGACTTAAGCCTCCGAATTACGTACGGCGATTTAAGTAATTGATAAAGTTGACCTCTAATTAAAAGAAATGATAATTGAAGAAATATAACGCAATATGATACATTCATACATAGGTATGTTTGCACCTGTATTATAATTTAAATTAAATATGAAATTCGGCTTAGCCTTACTTTTTTTGGCTATTTATGACTATGACAATATTCTAGAATATGTTAGCAACAAGACAGTATGCCAAATACATTCAGGCAGTCAGTTTGTCGAATCAGACACTAGTCAATGTGGACGTTGGTCCCTCGTAACTAATGAGCTAACTAATCAGTGATCAGTACTGTAGCTCACTAATTGTCGCTACATATACTACGTTTAATCTAGCATTCGATTAGGATTTAGAATTATCTACTTCAGTACTACACAGGCCTGGCCAGTCAGACCATTTAAATAAGACATCTAATTTACTTTCGTGTTCATTTTTATACGGAACATAGTTCTAGAACCAATGTAGTTGTTGCCAGACGCGAAATTCTTAAAAATAATAATTATATCATGTCATCACAGTCAGAACTCTCAGCAACACTGATGCTTAAATTATTGATTTATTTTCATTCCTTCACCACCATAAAAACGGAAAAATATTCTATTTAATTATCCATTAAGATACTTAAAACAATGATGATTCTTCCATCTCGTTAATAGCAATCGTCGGCGTCCATGGACACCCGCAACACCAAAGAAATTACAAGTCTTCTTTTTGTTACTGGAGTTTGAGGATTGGAGATTAGGTGATGAGGGAGATTATTATAAGACGAGAATGATCTGAATTAAATCACTAAAAAACGTCCCGATGTTATCAGATAAAGTTAAATAATATTTATGCTCAGTAGTGATGCTACATTTGAATACATTAGTCGCCAACCCTACTCTCTCTGGAAGTGTTTTAAGCGCCAATTGAGGGACTATTTAATAATATCTAACTTAATAGAGCTAGGCACTTTAAAATGGCGATATCCAACATAACAGAAACTGTGGAGATTCAGGTAAACGCCTATCTTGTAGAGGAAGCTTACAATGCAGCAGTGATCTCTCACGAGTTGTTGATGATCTCGATGAAGCAATATAGTCCCGGAGCCAGTGTTCCTTTCATTTACACCATCGTACATCCAAGATTTATTGGCCACAGTCGCATGACGCTTGCTCAATGTTTATGCAAAATTGAATTCAACCATGTTGTCGGTAAATTATTATAGCAGTTAAGTGTGGGAGGCTATCAAGATTATCATAATTTAATATATACTTTTAAGAGTTTTGTTTTGTCATCCACGGATTTTGTAGTAAAATTGCTGTGTTTGTGATCAAAATATGTAGTTACTAGCTTCAGCCAGTGGCTTTAGTGCCAGGGTAAAACGCAGCATAAGTGTTATCATCATTATCATCATCATCATCATCAGCCTATAAGTGCCCACTGCTGAGCAAAGGCCTCTTCTCATACGGAAAAGGTCGGGAATCACCACGCTTGCTTAATGCGGGCGTTGGCGATTTCAAACTTATAATTAGAAAAATATACGTCCAGGTTTCCTCACGATGTTTATCTTCACCGTATGCCAGTGGTGTCAACTCGGAAAAGTCACATTGGTACTTGCCAGGTTTCGAACCCATACCCTCATGCATGAGAAGCGGCCTCATTAACCTCCGAGCCACCACAACAGCGACATATGTGTTATGCTAGACTATAATCTATCTCTGTGCCAAACGTGAAACACCAATAATCCATCCATTTACGTTATTAGTAGTTCATATTATTTCGTAAAAATTAGAACGGTATAAATATCTTCAACATAAGATGTAAGAGGTTACGCTGGACAATTCAATCGTAGGTACTTCAGTCTTGTCTTTGACTGTAATATGCTAAATTCGACAAACAAACTTTTTCAGACGGTCATTGACTTATTCAACTTAGTTTTCTTAGTAATATCGAACATGATAGTTCTAACTTGAATGATTTAGTTAGTTTTGTGTTGTGTACGATTTACTCAGTACGTATGTAAAATGTTAAATGCCTCATTCTTCAATCGATATACATACATTGTGGTAGTCTTACGATTCAAGATGTCACGTATAAATCTACATATTATTATCACACAAGGTGACGAAATTAAAATTTTATCTCATACATCCGTTAAAAGGCCACTTCAGTAAAGAATAACCCGAATCGAGGATCCCAAATGTCAATGAGAGGATTACAATGCGTACGCGCAGTTCATTATTCATTATTATCAGTGTTGCAAGCAAGAATATTTGGGGAAATTGTTGGATACTTGCACAATTGATCGAACCGTATAAGTGGATGTGCGGGTTCGATTTATCAGGATTCGACATTATTGAGATGCGAAAATGTAAATAAATTATAATGACACGTTCAGTGCCGTCGATTGCAATTTTACACTGTATATGTGTTAATGTTGTTTTTATTGCTGGTGCGAAATGGTAGTCACAAAAGTAAGGTGGGACAAACATTTTTTTTATTATAAGCCTACTGTTAAATATGTTTCGTAATGTCTTGTGCGATTGAAATTAAACCCACATCCAAATAACTGCATAGTTAATCTATTTAAAACGTATGTATCCAATCAAATCAATAATTATTTATATAGCAATCATTTTGCATATAATTTGCACTAAAGTCCATTACCATTTATTATATTTGTTCTAATAACTGTCACCTACATAATATCGTGACATGATTACAGGCCTCGAGTCACAGGACTACAATTGTAGAGTACTTGATTTTGAATTCTATTCAGAAGTTTTTAAAGTGCAAAATAAAACGGGATTATATGTGTGAATGCCCAAGGGCAAAAACTGTCAAAGAAAGCTTGTTGTTGCTTGATTTGATTGAGACGCAGTTATGTGATTTTGTCGTTGAAGTTTAAGAAGCAAGTATGGAGCTCTGTAATTATTTTTGCACATATCATATTTTATCAAGACGTGTCTTATTTTTATGGTAGGCGTAAAGTATCTTGTATGTTTATGAAATATTGTTATATTATATGTTGTATACAAGTTCAATGACGAAATCTGGCTACCGGTGTAAAAGCTATAGCCTAAGTCTGTTGACTAAATGTATCAAGCTTTAATTGAGCCGGCTCGACTGGAGTGATACCCCGGCCTCACAGAAAACTGGCGAGAAACAAACAGTGCGTTTTGTTTCGTCACGTGACTGTAGTTACCAGATGCGAATTTTTTCCCCTCACCCAACCCCTAACTTCTCCGAAACCCTTACCCCCAAAAAGGCTGGCAACGCATTCGTGATTCGAATTTGCGATTTACGGAGCAATTATCGTATTCTTCAACAAATCTTAAACTACTACTCAATTTAAATTCCTATTTTTGGAAGCAAAAGTTGGAATGAAAAGGACTACTACGTTACAAAGAGACAAAGAAAACGCTTACCCCTTTTTTGTAATTAAATTCAGATGACTATCCAGTTACTAGAATGTCTATTGAAGAAGTTAGTCATAATCTTATTACAAACAGTTTGTTAGTACAAAAATATTTTTAGATGGAAAAGAAAAATCTTTTTTTACAATCAAAACTGAAATGTCGTGAATGGCAGAAGTTATTTTTAGCGGCAACTTTTGAAGTAAAAGTGAAAAGAATACGATTCCTGAATCGTCTTTTTACGAGATAAAACTTCACTGTTTGCCTTTGTGGGGACTCCATTCATAGAAGTTTATTTTATGAGTGTGTATTTCTGTTTATTCTTTCTTTTTAGGATTTTTAATTAAATTATATTCCATCTTCTTAACTTCTCGTCTGGCGATAAAAGAGACACAATAGAATAATCATTTTGTCTCGCTTAGATATACACTCCTAAGAGTAGTACGTCCATTTGATATGATAGATGCAAGTGTTTTCTAGGTAAAAGTCCATCTAAGTCCATCTATGTCATCTCTGGATGGGAGAAAATAGTGTTCGGTGTTTGAATTCGGATTTCAAAGATTTAACAGGGATAGACGCTCAATAATATTGGGAGGTTCAGTTTGATCAGTTATACAATCAGTCGCCGTGATTGAGCGTGAAATTAAACAATCTATAGTGACTGACATTTAAATCAATAGTTAAGCATTTCATTGTTTGAAATTTCAAGTTATTAGGTATTTGTTATAATGATGAATGATGAATCAAAAAATTGCCTTATTCGAGTTTAGAACGCGTAAAAAACAGGTTTGAATTCAAACTTATATAGATTAAACTTTTTGAATAATTAGTATCACCATGAAAACCATAACTAAGCAATTTGGTAACCATGTTGATGTTGTTTTTGTACAAAAAACTTTAATTAAGTTCCTATAAACAATATTTACTATAGGTATCACGTCTTTCCTATAATGTTGTAAAATTGTTTATTGTTACATCATCGGTTTTATTTCCGAGTTGTTTCATAGTTCCTATTAGTTAATCTTTGGTTTTGAGGTCGTAACTGTCAGTTATACGATTATTGGTAGTCGAGGTCACTGCGTGTACGATGCCTGTTTGTTTAAGATGATGACCTTAGATCAAATTATAGGTGTACTGTTGTTTGTTCTGGTTTATTATACATCATTAATGCACATAACTGCCTTCGGTTGATTAATGTTTTTTTGCGAAGTCGGCTCTTGGTCTATTTTCGAATTTCTTTTATTTGAAACTTATACATTTTTTAAGATTTAAACATTGAATTCTTATTTAATTATAAGTGTGTTTTTTCTCGTGTCAACTTTTTATTGATTATGAAGTAAAACATTACTGAAATCTGTATAATATTATGTAAATTATCTGAAATATACTTAAGATACTGCTTAAGTATATTTCAGATAATAATACTACCTGCCAAACAATTCAATTATCTACGTAATCGTACATATGTATATCTATACTAATTATGTAATAGTCTCTATATATCTATTTTCACTTATAATTGTTTCATATTCTTCTTCATATTTAAATACAAACACGCTATTTATCTCTGACAGAAAAATATCTGCAGCTATTGCTTGGGAATATTTAAAAATACCCAGACGAGCTCCAATTACCATATCTCAGTCCTGTTTTTATCCGTTAGCCAATTAATCTATCCCACGCCTAACTACCTTACACTCCGCTGAGTTTACATCTTCCGCACGATATCCTCCACCGTTACCAGGCTTCCCTCTATGGTCTATTTTTAAGACGGTAATATCCCATCTTAATTGCACCAGTCTGTTTTACGGGATCAGTGCATTGATAACATCTTTTAAATGTTCAGGATGTTCTGTGTAAGAACAAATGTTTTAGGATCGTTTCTTTTGAAACAGTGCATTAAAAAGTTAATTAAGGGAAATGATACTTTCGTTTTTAAATATCTGTTTTCATATGAACCTGCTAAATATTAAAATAAGTTTATACTATGTATTATTGTATAAGACTGAGTAATAATTGTTTGTTTCCTTTGTTTCAGATTCCTGGCCATCTGGTGGCCCCTGAAATGTCAAATCACCAAGCGGCGAGCGAGAATGATGATTGTCTTCATCTGGATCTTCGCCATCAGCGTCACCACGCCCTGGGTCTTCTTCTTCGACCTGGTTGTGGTCTTCGACGACAACCCACATGTTCGGCTTTGCCTTGATGTCTGGCCAAACCCCATCAGTGAGGTTCTCTACTTTGTTATTGGGAATCTCATTTTCTGCTACATCCTCCCCATGGTTCTCATAACTATGTGCTACATCCTCATTTGGATCAAGGTTTGGAGAAGATCAATCCCAACTGACACCCAAGATGCTCAGATGGAAAGAATGCAGCAAAAATCCAAAGTCAAAGTCGTTAAGATGCTGGTCGCTGTTGTCATACTTTTCGTCTTGTCTTGGTTCCCACTGTACCTTATCTTCGCAAGGATTAAGCTTGGAGGACCTATACAAAAATGGGAGGAAGAAATGTTCCCTGTTGTAACACCTCTGGCCCAATGGCTAGGCGCTTCAAATTCTTGCATAAATCCAATATTATATGCATTTTTCAACAAGAAGTACAGAAAGGGTTTTGTAGCTATAATTAAGAGTAGGAAATGCTGTGGAAGGTTACGCTACTATGAGACCATCGCTCTGCAATCATCGAGTACTTCAACGAGGAAGTCTTGGCATTACAACAATAACAACCATCCGTCAATCACTCGGCGATCACCTCCCGTCGATAAGAACGCAGTGTCGTTTATCTTCAACCACACGGGAGTGTAAGAGAGAGAGTGGAACGTGCTTTGGATTTCGAATTAGAGCCATGGTCGGCTTTGCGTCGGGCACTCGGGCCGTGGGCGGCCACAGCTAGCGACGCGTCTCAGCATATCGACACAATACGACATTTTCTATTGTACGTTTTATTTCAACAGTTTGGTGTAGTCTTGTGCGAGAACAGTTAATGACTTTCAAACTAGCATAGAGTACTTAAGTGAACATAATCAGTGTTTTAATAATGCTAGTAGTTATAACTTGTAACTTTTATACGTAAGTCGGTTAAAATGTTTTAAGGAGATTTTATTTTTACACTGATCGTAATAATATTAGGAGCGTATGAAAACGCACATCGAGCACAAAAATGAAAATCGAGTTTTGTATTTTTTCTTATTATATCTTATATACTCAATATATATAATATTCATGTATTTTAGTTACATGATTTTAAACCAGTACAAAGAACTACGCCTTGCTTTTATGTATGAAATTATTTTTACTTTTGTTATTTCCATAATCGAATAATTCCATATCTCTTTTGACGTTGTATACTTATACATACGGGTAAATTATTAAAATTTTGTACAAAAATATAAAAAATAAAATACAAAATTATAAACACTGAAACAATATACTCTATTGACAGTACAAAAATAATTGTGTAACACTCGGTAGAAAATAAGCTTTTAATATTTTTAAAACTGAATTTCACATTTTAAGTTTTTGTATTTTATTTTTGTTTTTTTTTTTTCTTATTCACCGGATGCATTATATTGAAACAAAACATGAATGAAATACCTACTTTAGATAGAATTCATTTAACAAAATGATTACTAGAGAATTTAGAAAATGCGCTATATATAAATAGAATTAAAGTAGTTATTGCGGTGGCAATAAGTTTGTTAAATGCTCGTTAAAGTGTGACTAGTTTCTTGGAGAAATATTTAAAGTTGTTGATCAAGTTTTGGATTTTTGACTTGGACATGTTTTCACATACGTAACGCATTTAAGAATATTGATAAATTAATACACTCATTTTCTTTACATTGAGATGACTTCAATAGCAAAAAAGTAAGGATTTCATATGGCTATCGACTGACAATTTTGATATTCAAAATGTCAGTTGACCTGGTTCTGGCATGTCCATGTCAAAACGAACGTCGACGAGCTTTGTAAGTAAGTCTTGATAGTAAGGTGACCTAGGTCTCATAATTAATTATACCCCTTTGTATGTAACGAGTCTGCGCTAAGCACAGGCTATTAGCCGCTTATAATGCACAAAAAGATATTAACGATATTAATATGATAACTATATAACTATTGTATATTTTTAAAATAATATATTATTACGAGGTGGGAAATAAAAATATTTTCGATATTATTAGGTTAGTTATACTGTAGATATTGAAATAAATGTGAATTTTTGCATGTTGAAATACACAATATTTGTTTTTAAATTAATATAACTTCTGTTCTTTTCCGTAGTCTAATACCCTGTTTATTTTGTAGGAATTAATTTTTGGTATTAAATAATAACACACGAAATTTTGCTATAGGTATTTCAATATTGTTTTTTTTAGCTATTTTTTTAAATGTATTTTTATTTCTCACAAATTAATATTCGTCGATATAATTGTAATAGTCGTATAAATAATTGCATCATTATATCCTAATGTAACTTTGTTTTATCTACTAGATGTTTTCATTAACAGCACATTTTCATAGACGATATTTAGAAGTAATGTTTTGTTTTTAACAAAATGATATAAAAAAAAACGTAAAAAAACATACATATTTTTCTACTAAATAATGAACAACGTTTGACAGAAAGTGGTCACAACTTATAATTAATAAGGATATAAATATTTCCTGTGCAGTTTCCTCTCACTTCAGTTTTTCGTGTCATGTGTTATTTTTCCTGCACTGCAGTGTATTCGTAGGCATTTGTTTTCTTCGTGTAGGATATCAATGACAAAGTCGAAGCTTGCAAGACTGATTGCTGGTAATTCCTTCAAAAGGACAATTCGTGTGATAGAAAAATGGATTTTGAATTCGACTATTTTTGTAATTTAAGCTTAACCCTAGCTTATTGTTCTATTTGTTTGTCCTCTGTCTACATACTTTAAAAGCTTTATATTGTGTATCTAAATTGTTGTAACAACCAATTCTTTGTGTCGTCTTGAGATCTTTTGAAGATTATTTTGTGTGCAATACATATATATGTGAAAACGAATAAAAATGAATTTAAGGCAATACGTAGTGAGGGTAGAAACATGCTGAGCATGTCATCTTGAGTAAGTACTTGAGAATGATAAAATGATAAATGTTACAGCCGCGTGGAATGAGGCTGCGGGCAGCCGGCTCCGTGGCTAGTGACTATTTATATACAAAATGTCATACAAATCGGTCCACTAGTTTAAGATGACATACAGGCAGTTTTTTACTCAAAGTAGCCCACAGCAACACCATCATTTTGATGTGACTTTATTTCATTTGTCATTTTTTTACTTTTGAAATGTGGGCTTGCAACTATTTGTACATTACACTATAATAATTATATGGAAATTGTAATCGTTAAATACATAACTTTGTAATAATACATTTTCACGCATTTAACGTCGGTATCAAATGAGTACTTACTATCATTGTGATCTTTTAACTGAGGCTTAATAAACTCGTAGAAACTTTATGATTTATATTTGTGAACATTTGTACCAGAGTGTGTGGAAAGTTTGGGAGATAATTTATTAAACAAAAACTTAGCACAAAATATTAATATATAATTGCTTTGTCTGTAGAAGATTCGACATGTTCAGCTTACACCCTTAGCTTTATCTAGTTCGCACAGGAACATTGTCTTCGCGAATTTTTACTAAGCCTCAGTTAAATTCGCGCATTATACCTACCTACAAACGTAATTATTCCAATAATATAATATATACCTTGTATTCGTATAACTAATAGTTTTATACTAATAAATGTCTACTACGAAATGTTATTTTATAATAACGATTGAATTATAATTATATTATACATAATTATACTATATTTATATACAAAATAATTGGTATAACGTAATTCTATGTAAATAAATTGAATTAGAACAATAAATATTATATTATTGTTTATTATGTTTGTACATTAGAAAGCGTTTCTGTATAATATCGCTGTTGTTCAGTTGCCGTGTTTGGTGTTAGATATAATAGTGTTTAATATAATAATTATTATGTGTAATAATAATAATGTGAGACCTGATTTAGACATTAAATTATTGAATTCATATAACTAAATAATTCTTCTTGTAATCTTAACCTGTTTGATGTTATGACAAGTTGTAATAGTTATTTCATTAAAATGGTTTAATAATGTAGTGTATAGTATGAAAGCTTGTAGTATAGCCGTTTACTAGAATTTGTAAATGTATAAAATTATACTGTACATTTATGTAAAAATAGAGGTTTGATGTTTTAAGCAATGTTAGGTGATTTTTAGAAATTTAGTAAGCTTTTTTAGTGGACACTGCTAATTTTACTATGGGACAAATAAATTACCAACAACATCTTGATACATGTGAACAAGAATGTCCATAATTGAATTAGCAGGTTGAATATATTTCTATCAACACAAGATTCCTATATATTGTAACAGAAGCAATTTTTGACATATGAAACTTTGACTATATTCCGTACAATTTACCAACATATCAATGAAGTAACCTCCCTATTTGTCGACATCGGTTAATATACGTACGAGTTTATAAGAACAGAATTCTTTAACAATGGTTTTGTCATTTTTCTATTAACGATGAGAGCGTACTACTAAGGAGATTCCTTTCGAGTGAAGGATTCCGTAGTCCGCTGTGATTACTTACAATTTGTTATATGTAGTCTACATTAATTTCCTAGTTTTCGTGTCTGACAAATTAACCTATTTTGGCGCTTAATTAGATCATAAATCAGTTTTTCGTAGGTCGAATGAATCTGAGAAGTTTGGTTAGTGATTTTGTCAGAATGTCAAGTAATGAATTACTTGTATTTAGTTTTTCAACCTGTGTCTATTTTTAAAAGTAGAACTCCTAAAATATTTAAACAACTTTTAAACATTAAAAAGCCCTAATGATTTTTTAGCTAAATTGTATTTTTATTGTTTTAATTATAGAGATAGCTCTCCATTTGTTACTGTAGTAGAAGTAAAAAGTTTTTGTTTTGTTTTTTAGTCAAATTATATATTTACCAGGGTTATATTCGATGAAATTAATATTCCTGTAGCAAAGTAATTCGTCAATTGTTTTTTTATTAAGATATCATTTGATTGCTTATTTGAATTGTAGATTATTTTTCTAAATATGATTAGATTTTAATGCACAAACTAGATTTTAGTTAGATTTATTTAAAAAATAGTGATATAATTATTTATTATAAATGTATTAGATTTTAGTTCTTTCATTAGTGTTTATTATTAGATGAGACAATGTTTTGTTAACTTTTTTACATATTTATGCAGGTTTTGCTATGATTAGTGTTTTAAAAATGTTGCAAAGAGTGTTTAGCCGTGGCGTAACTAAATAGTTGTTTTCGCAGTTACAGCTGTAGATAACAATTCATATTGGATTAATATTAACCTAACATGCAAACACTATTGTATGTCAAATAAATAAAATGTAAAAAATATACTAGTGCTGTTTTATTGCATGGACCGATATCAAACCTGATTATTTTATGTTTAAGAAGCTGAAATCGACTTTATTTATTTTATCTTATTATTTACACTAAATAGATGTAGGTACCCAGTGCAATAAAATAATGTTTTGATTACAATGGGCGATAATTATCACACAAGGCGATACCTTCCAGACAACCTTTGGATGGAAAATTATAAAAATAAGAAACTTAATAAAATCTGTTTTTGCAATTCACTGTAGTGAAGACTACATTTAAATATAAGTACATCTATAAAAGTTGTGTTTGGGACTCAGTTCCTGCTTTCTTTAACATGCCTAATAATGTACT